ACTGAACCAAGTTACTGAGTCAGAATCTCTAGAATGGTTTTGGTCTAGATTCTAGAACGGAGTGCAGTGTTATAACACCAAGGTCAAGGGTTCAGATCCCCATACCAGCCAACCACCAAAAAAATAAAAAAAGTGTAGACTAGGGGCCAGCAAACCAGCTGTCAGTTTCTTAAAATAAAGTTTTATTGGAACACAGTCATGCTCATTGGGTTACTACTAGCCATGGCTGCTTTCTTTCTACAGCAGAGAGCAGAGCTGAGTAATTGTGCGGGGTGCACAACAAAAATGTAAACGCTGTGGAAGTAGACCACCTAATCCAAGATCAACAAAACAAAAGTTAACTACCTGGACTAAATGGACTAGATGAACTGATTTTGTTATGATTAATATTTTATTTTAATTAACGTAAGTAAAAATCTTTGTGTTTAATCTCCCATCCTCAATTTAATAGATTATACCTACATGAACTGGAATGATGCATTCTTTTTAAAATTTATTTTTATTTTTATTTCTTTTGGCAGCTGGCCAGTACAGGGATCCAAACCCTTGATCTTGGTGTCATCAGTACCACACTATAACCAACCAAGCTAACCTGCCAGCCCCTCTTTTTTTAAAATTTTAATATATTTTATTTAACCTAATATATCCATAATATTAATATTTCAACATGTAATTCATTTAAAAAATATTAATGAGATATTTTACCTTTTTTTATTCATCTTCAAATCCATTTATTGTTATACTTACAGAACATCTTAGCACTCTTTAAATGTAATTTTGTCCCAATCAAACTTTCAAATTTCAAAAGAAAAAAAATTCCAAGAGNTGTAGAATATAATGGCATGTGTTGATTGGACTTGTCTACAAAACAATAATAAAAAAAGTCAAAAGGAGACTGCCTTTATAAGTTCCTTTACTTTTTATGACAAAATATCCTGTTTTGAGAAGAAAGAAATGTAACCAAACAAACTGATATAGCTTATCCTCCTCTAGATGGAATTAATGATTATGATCGTGTAGGTTTATTCATACAGGTTCAATATGAATCTGTCTTTTCTCTTACCAGAACATAAGATACTGACTATGCCAAAAATTCCATTTAATTAGGTATGTGTTAAAGAGAAAAATTATCCAATGACACTTGTTTAAAGCATGGTAAGGAGACTTTATTCAGGAACATCAAGATAGGTATAGGGATGATGGCACTGGGATCTCGCAGTGGGGGAGAGAGATCGGGCTCAATTCTGAATACAGCATGGGCAAATGGAAATTCACAGCCGAGAAGCAAGGTGGGGGTCGGTGGATTGAAAATGAAGAGGAAACATCGGGGTCAGGGGGATTCTGGCTAAACCATCGTGCAGACAGTTCGAGCTGNAGGAACATCAAGATAGGTATAGGGATGATGGCACTGGGATCTCGCAGTGGGGGAGAGAGATTGGGCTCAATTCTGAATACAGCATGGGCAAATGGAAATTCACAGCCGAGAAGCAAGGTGGGGGTCGGTGGATTGAAAATTAAGAGGAAACATCGGGGTCAGGGGGATTCTGGCTAAACCATCGTGCAGACAGTTCGAGCTGATCAGACATCACCCGGGGGTTGGTGGAGGATGAGGAAACTGATCAGATGTGGAGGGTGGGGGATTCTTGCTAAACTGACTTAGCAGGGCTCTTTGCTAAAACCGGATTTTCCAAGGAAGTTCACACATGGGCCTAGGAGAAGTTTCAGGGGCCTGACTAAAGTTTGGCCAAGCAGAATCTTTGTCATATGATAAGCCACTGTTAAGGAACAGACACTACACTTTACCTGCAGAAATAATACCTATGAAGGTTGATGGAGTTTGGATGTGTTGTCCCCACCAAAACACATGTGGAAATTTGATCTCCAATGTGGCAGTGTTGGAAACTGTTTGAGTCATGGAGGCGGATCCCTCATGAATGGATTAATGCTCTCCCTGGGGGAGGGGGATTAATGAGTGAGTTCTCGCTCTATTAGTTCCCACGAGAGCTGATTGTTTAAAAAGACCCTGGCACCTCCTCTCTTTCTCTCTCTTGCTTCCTCTCGCCATGTGATCTGCTTGTACCCGCCGGCTGCCTGCCAC